ACAGTTCCATAAGAACGAGAATTGTTTGATTATAAAGTCTGCAAAAGCAAAACTATTGGGCTGAGCTGATTGGCAAAAAAGGTGTGCGAAAAGTTTAGATTTTTCATTAAAGAAATAAACACAAAATCCAGGCAGGCACAAAGATAAATAAATGCTCTAAGTGCCAAGTTTTCACTTTTATAAGATTTTTAGTCCTAAAATTACTCACTAAGCATAAATATTAATTTTAAGAATTAAAGGTCAGTAAATATTTTCTTAATTTTTACGCCTTTCATGATTTTCGTGCATTTGAATATGTCAAAAGGTTTTTTGTTTATTCAAATTTATCATAATAAATCAAAAGGACTAACTTTTTATTTAAAAAAGAATTCTACAATTTGGATATTCTTTTTTTGAAATAATTTTTTTCTCTTATTTTATATAAGGGAAAATGTTATTTTAATTATGTGAATACATTCAGCTGTTTTTAATCTACTTCCAATACTACATTTCTGGCTACAAGTCTTTTTAAAAATTTATTTGATGAATTTCTTATAGATTCTTATATATTCACAATGCTTCGTAAGCTAATTTTTCATAGTATCAAACTTCGTCTTTTGCGGCGGGGAGTTGATAGAAAAATCAATTCGAGGTATTATTTTGTCATTAAGGAAAATAAGACAAAAAGCCTAATAAGGCTTAAAGCCTCATTTTACACAAGCCTCATTATTTTTAAAATAGCCCAATTATTAACGAAGCACTTGTTTGCAAGTAAGGCGAAGGATAATTTTGTCATTAATCAAATTTATTATTTGCGCACTTTTGTCGCAGACAGAATTAGGAGACGCATTGAAATTGACAAGTTATACTTCGAAGGATTTTAATTAATTTTTATATGTGGGAGCGCTTGTTGAAAGTGAGTGATGTCAGGGAGTGTATCCAGTAATCATTAATTAAAAAGCACAGAAAATACTTTAAAAGTATGTGAACTAGAAATTTCTTAAATAACAGATTTAACCTTAAATTACTGAATTATTAGACTGACAATTAACATAATGTTTCGAAGTCAAACGGTCTCAATGTCCACAAATTATTTCAAAATGTATTCAGATATGCTGGACAACTGCTTATCTTTTCTTAATAAATTGTGATAAACTGATCATATGTTCTTGAGGTGTGTCCTGGAACATGAATGACACGATCGCAATTAAAGTGCTGATAGACTCGTTAAACTAGAAACCAGTCTTTGGATCTGTACCATTCTGTATTGTTACAGAAGAAAGCGTAATGGAACACACTTTATAACTGGAAAGATTTCTAAGTCAAAGAAAAAACAAAAACTGAATAAACTATTAACATCATAGACAGGCTAAAAAACAATTTAGGATGTCCTATATTATAGTCTTTTATAGAATATAGTCTATAATACTACAGTCTATTATATTATTCTATATAGAATAGAATAACATAAAATATTATAGAATAAAATCTACATCTAGAATAGTTTAAAATGGATGTTTATTTTAGTAGAGATGGAAGAAAAATTCTCCCTGGACTATTGACACACTATTGTAACTGAGGTAATAGGCCTATTAGACTATAATAGGCTATAGGCCTATTACCACAAAATAGGCCTATTAGACTATAGTGTGTGAAGCTTTTGTGAAATGAATATTGAAATCTCTAAATACATTCTCTGTACTTGCTCTATGTATGTTAAAAACGTAATGATCCGTTGTATCAACTGGGTTTGATAAAAATTATCCTTTGAAATTGCTGTATATAGTGGGGCGTACTATTTCGATAATAACAATAAATACACAAACTTGATGAAAGTTGTAAAAATATTAAAGCCATTACTAAAGCCATAATTAAAATATTTATATTATTTATGATATATCCAACATATGTAATTTAATATTTTTATTTTATCTATACATTTTTATAATAAAAATAAGTTTTATTTTTTAAATTAAATTTCATAAAATTTCTAATAAATAGTGTTCTCTATTCAAAAGCTTTCAGTCAATAAATTCTCTTTGAAAATCAAACTAATATTTGTTTTCGAATAAAAAATTCTTGAAGGAGAAAAAAAATTTAATAAAACTATTTAATATGAATAAGAATTTTCAATTTTTATTAAAATTTTGAAATGTATCTCATAAAACAGAATATCTAAAATAATTCATATTTTACTGAAATAAATTGAAAACCTAAAATATTGCATTACTGTAATATGAGGATCTGAAAAATTCAAATTTCTATTAAATTGTCTGTCAATTCTGCTAACAACAAATTAAACAGTAAAGCACAGAAATAAAAGGCTCTCTATTGAGAATTAAATTTGCGAACATTTTAAGATGGAATCCATTTATATAAAAACAAACAAAATACATAAATGCAATAAGTAATAACAGCAATAGGAGCAAAACAAAAGGAATTATTTTACCCAAAAGGCTCTAAAATTTCGAGATAAAACTAAATGCTTTGCTTACACAGGAGACATCAGCAAAAAATACAGAATTCACAAAACAAAAAGAAAAAAATTAGAATTTTATTATGAAAATTGAATTTCAACGCAAAGTAATTGTAAAATGCTCTGCGCTTTGGTGTTCTGGGATTCTGAATATTACCAGTACACGTCCACAAAGCCCGTGTATCTGTGTTTTTGTACTTAAACAAATATCAATGAGTACAGATACATTCCCACACATGAGCATATATGGATTCATTTGTTATATGGAAAAGCAAAAGTCGAGTCATATTTTCACATAAATTGCACACACAGGCAAATTCAGTTGTTGGCAGAGGGATTTCAAAATGTTTAACGTGTAAATACGGAAATAACGTGACAAATATTTTTGAATTTGTGAAATTGCATAGAAACAATCACAATCACAACAACAACAAAAACAACAACAACAAATGATATGAAAAACAAAAATTAAACAATTTCAAAAGGCAATGACGATTGACATTGTTAACAGCTTTTCAATTTCATAGATTTCACTGGAATATCTACAAAAATATTACCCTCAATTTTTGGATTACAGTGGTAAGGAGAAAATAATATATTTATAGTATATGATAAATGAAACATTAAACGTAAATTTCAAAATCGTAAGATTGACCATTGATACAAGTATGAATTTATTTAGCAAAATTGATGGCATAAACATGACTTTAGTAAATATTAAGACTTAATATATAATTTAATTTGAGAGGTTTTTCGAAAAAAATGGAACTACAACAACAAAAATTCATTTTATATTATTTTAATTAATTAAATTTTTGGCAGATCATACAGATGTTTCGAGTATTGCCAAATACCTATCATCAGTCATTCGTAAATAATTTTTTTGTGACTGCAAGTACCAGGAATCGAACTCGTGTCCTGCCAAATTTGATGCTCAAAGTCAGCGCTCCTTAACTAACTGACATAAAGCCGCACTTGACTTTTTATGTTCGCTAATTTTTCTGGACTTTTGTTATTTTGCTATAAAAGTTTTACTAACAAATTCACTTGTTGTGTTTATATTAAAACGAAATCATAAAGAAACTATAGAATAATTTAAATAATTAATTATACTTTTATTTTTAATTGTTAAATTTCAAAACTATTCTATTTGTAGCATGATTTATATATTCTTTCTTATATATAAAACATAATCTAGGAATGTAATACTGAGAATGTCATGTTAATGTTACTCCATGAGTCGCACGGACGAGACCAATATTTTGTGAATATAATTTGTACTTTCACATTTAAAATGATCTTCTGATAAACGTAGTGATCTTGTGTAGCGACTCTGTAATGAGCGTAGTGAACTTTTTACGGTGCATGATTAATAAAATATTTTTTATAATTAATGAAAAAACATGAATAAAATATTTAATTAATTTATTTAATTGTTTTAGTATATTAAACGATTCGTAAAACTAATTGTTTTAAAAATATTTTCTTTGTGTTAGAAAAGTGTTGTGAGCATTTGTAATGCATATATTTTATATGTTTTCTCTTAAAATATATAATTTTATGTGCATTTATTAAGATTCAGTTATAGAATGTATTGAAAAGAAATTGTATTTTGTACTATTTTCATAAACACAAACACTAAAAATTTCTGTTTCTAAAGGTTTTTTTATCACGAATAAAAAACAGTGCACTATATTCGGTACTGTACAGTTTTCTTTCGTGAACTGCTAATAAAATTTTCCACTTCAAAATTTGATGTCATCAGAAGTCAACTATTAGTCAAATAGTCATTAGTTGACTATTAAAATCCTTCGTCAAATTAGCGATAATCAGAACATAACAATAACAACAATGCACTTGGTTGTGAATACTCGGTTGTGAATACTTGTGGCAATACTCGAAACAGCTGTATTATCAGCCAAAAATTCGATTAATTAAAATTATATAAAAAAAAAAATTTTTGTTGTTGTAGTTCACTACTGTTCCAAAAAACTTCGTTTTTAAAAATAAAGTAAAGTAAAATAAATAAAACTACATTTTTTTAAATAACATCTTCCACTGTAAAAATCAAAATAATTAATTGCTACTGTTAACTAACATTTTGCAAACTGTTAAGTTAACAACAGCGCTCCCGAAGCACTGCTGTTGCATGTTTTCACTTTATTGTTTTCCCATAAGAAATGATGCTTTATTAGTACTACATTTCTAGGGAATTGAAAAAAAGAATTATATTCTAACATGTAAATGGTTTAGAAGGAAATATTAATAAATGTTTGTTTTATACGTATTTATGCTAAAATATTTGATTTTTCATCAAACATTCATTTGTGTCTTTGTAATTCCATTTTATTCGTTTATCTTCAAATAGAAAAGTACACAGTTGGAAACTGGCAATTTTGTAGCTCACGTTTTTTGTACACATCCAACGCCCACGTAAACATGCCCACATATGAGCAAACATGTGTTACGCCCATATATGCTCAAACAAATATAAACAAGCAAAAAATCAACAAACTCAACATTACAAACAATCCTGCATACGTACCGTTTTGTTGCCCAAATGTTTAACCCGGCATCCCAAATATGCGGACTTGCCAACAAGCGATGTTATGTTTTTCGGCATTGTCAAATCAAAGTACGGTTCGTTCCATCTATGCCCGTGCGGATAGTGTAGCGGTGGCAGATGTGTTGGTTTCGAATCCAAATGATTGTGATTGTTATTATTTACGGAAAGTCTTTGGTAACACATTGTTAAGCCTGTAAAATAATAAAAACAACCATAAGGAAAATTAGTTAACGAGTATTTTTTTTTTGTTTGTTTCATTTTATATAAACGAATAGAAAAAATATGACAGAAATAGATGTCCCTAATGTCGTCGTCACATTAAGGAAGTTAATGAAAACTATATAAAATTTAATTTGATAAGACATACCCAAAAAAAGTTAAACTTATTTAATGAAAAGTTAAGAGCTTAATAATACGGTACTGAAAAAATCAATTAAATTATTCAATTCTTGTTATTTACGTATTTATTATTTAACTCTAGAATAACAGCTTATAGTAGATACTACAAAATCTTATGAAAATATTTATGAGAATTATAATGGAGTTATGGGTAGAGACTTTATATTCGATTCTAAAAATTTTTGTAATATTTTCCTCTTTATATATACAATTGAATTCATTTATAATTCTTTTAAGACTGAATTTAATAGTGAAGATAAAGAAGGATAATAATGCAGAAATTTTCAAAACAAATATAAAATCTCTACCAATAACTTCATTATAATTCTCATTTAGTTTAAATGCAATATAATTCCTCTCGCTTTTGTCAATATCATGTATTCAAATAATTAGTTCTGTTCAAAAGGAAAAATCCGTCAAATTGAACGTAACCAAGATGAGGCAAGACTTTTAAAATTCCCTGCTTCACACTAAAGTCCAGATTACCCTCACTGATGATTATTTACTTGCACTCTCCACCATCCATCCTTAGCATCCGTACTATACATCTCCGTAAGGCTTCACATAATACTTTGTAGAGTTGCATTCTATTGCTTCCATCATTTCTCTTTATATTATAAACGCAGCTTTTCTAATTCCAATTATTAAGTCAACCTACCAAGCGCAATAACCCCAACTTCTTGCAGTCCCCTGTTCTCTCCCCTAACTATTGTTCATATTTTCTGTTTAAGATGAAAATAGTTTTCTAAACACTAAATGTATTCATGACCTAACTCTTCCCTGATTAGTGGAAGCAGATGTTCAATACCATAACCATAACCTCCTCCGTCATTGGTTGAATCCTGCTTATTCATTTCCTAGAGTTGGTTATATTGGATTAAATTCAATTAAATTAAATTGTTTTATATTTTTAACCCAAAAATATGCCCAAATTTAAACTATAGGATGCCTCCTACTAGCACTTATATTAGTATTCAGACCGAGATAGAGGAGTTAATTGTGGCAACTATAATTAAGATATATAAATAAAAATTAATGCTTCAGTTATTTTTGATTTATGATATATAGTTGAAAGCTAAAATGGGTCGACGATTCATAAATTCAATTAATTTCATTCAGTAAACATTTTCACTTATGACATTTAACCATTTTGTGAATAAGAAAAAATATATTTTTAATAAAATTTAATGTAAAAGTTCAGTTTGTCAATCCTCTTTACTTTTTTTACGGATGGAAAAATTTCATCAAATTTTTATTTTCATATTTGAAATTTGAATTGACAAAATATTTAGGTTTTTGAAATATTTATGTTGTTTTCTTTTTGTTTATAAAAATTTATATTTAGTATTAAATGAATTAAAAATCATTTATATAAAATGTAATCAACTTAGCTTTATTAAAAATTTTATTCCAACTTCTAAAAGGCAATGGAATTATTAATTAAAATTCTTTTCCTTGTGGATAAAGAATTTGAGATATTAAATTTGTATGACAGTATTTATCTTACAATAATACACATAAAATCCTTCAAATATTTATATGTATTTATTTTAGTATTTTTAAAATAAATTCGAATATATGAAATATGATGATATAATTTATTATCTTTCAGAAATGTAAAGATTTTTATAATAGACAATAACAAGGTGTGAAAATAAAATTTAATATTTCTCAAAATTGAAATTAAATATCCTTGTGAGATATTTAAATGCTCGTACATGACAATCCAAAATATATAATGTGTGCTACAGGTATGCGGTATTATTTTAAGATGAGATCCTTAGGATGTTACAATTATAAATAATAAAATTGACGTAATATTAACTGTGACAAATTTAATGGTGGTAGAAAATATATTGAAGGCTACTTTAATCGATTAATGGAGCTAACGACATATACTTAAAATTTGGGTTTTAAACAGAGTTGATTATAATGTGGACTACTGTATTTAGGCAACTTTTGAAGTCACCTTAAAATTGGAGTGTAAGTAGAGTTCATTATAATGTGGACTACTATACCATGCAGCTCTTAAAGTCAATCTTGACAGATAAGTGTGTGAGCCAGATCATTATTCTAACTTGTGTAGTAATATTATTAATGTACGCTTTGAGCTATTTAATTAGTAAGTTCAAATGGTTAACTAAAAAATTATTTTAATTTAATTTTAATCATATAGATAGGTTGTTAGCCTAACGAGCTGACGACTATATAGTATCTGCTTTACTTCATTTCAAATATTCTATGGAAACAAGAAGTTATCATTTTTGTACCACAGTATTAAGTAATATAAATATAAATAATGTACTTAACCTATATTTTAATTGTAATTACCTCCTATACAATTAATTTTACAAGCACCGGAAGGTAATTGATATAATTAATTAAGCATTATTAAAGTGTGGTAATTACGAATACATTCAATTGTAATAAAAACTTTAATAAATTGTATGACAAATTGATTAATTAGAAAATAAATATAATTGCGATTTAAGCATACTAAATTGATACAGTCACTTGTCCCCTGTAAATGTTATTGGTTAGAATAAAATAAGGAAAATTTATATTTTGTATTTATATACATTTGGGAAACAGTGTCATCTGCAAATATCTGTAAAATTTTTTAGCACAAATATTTTAGACTTGGAATTCAAACTCTGCATTATTCTATAAGTATATATTTCATATATAATCAATTTATATGTATCTTACTTTGCTTCTTAGACGTAAACAGTTTTTCTTTTTCATGTGGCAAGAAAGAATTTTCTAATTGTAAATCATTTAAAAGCAAAACTTATGTACTTAGATTGGTACACTTATACCTCCACATTAATTAAATAGCAAAATATAGAATTCATTTACCAGAATTCGCAATTCTAAGACAAAAGAAAGTACAAACAGAAGCGTTATTTGTGTATACAAAACAAGTTAATTAATGTAATTCTATGGAAATGGGTTGAGTACATTCCAGAAAGCAAAAATGTATCTATAAAATATGCGTATAATGAGGATCTATCCTTTTAGCTATTTACTTTGTTAAATATGTAACTGTGTTAAGTTTTGTCTTTGTGTGTGTATAAATGAAGTTAATTATAATTTTGTTATATATTATTTTTATGGTTCTATTGTATTTGTTTAAAGTAAAAGAGAAAATATTTTTTCTTAATATAATAATATATAATGCTTATATGATATAGAATTCAAATCACGAATCCTTTATATCCTTTACGTATTAATACATAGCGCCGACATGGACTAAATGAAGTTATACAAATTTGTTTTAGATATTTCATAAATTTATATTGTTTGTTTATAACTACTTATCGCACTAGACCGAATCTCCTACGAAGACATTCCCTTGCCAATTTTTGAAAGTTATATACATCTATCTAATAAGTTAATAAATAAACACCTATAAGAAATGATTATTTGAATCTAGGTCAATTTATATAAATTATAATAAATTAGATCCATTTGTTAACTAACAGATTTGAATATATAGTTATCCACTTTGAGGCCTTGATTTAGCAGCACTGTTTCAATTAAAATCAATCCATTTTAACTTTTTATCCAAGTTATCATATTATTAGGTTATGGATTGTCATTTTACAATATGGATCGTGTGATGAAGAAATCGTCATCGATTTCATCGTGTTCATGGTTTGTTCGCTGATGTCGTTTAAGTTACGAAAAGCTATTATATATTTTTTGCATTTAATTATCGTTAATCTTGAGGTTCATATTTCATTTGGTGAATATGCTAGCATACATATGGTTACATATGAATAAATAGATTGATTCAAAAGTTATTAAAATTGTAAGTATATGTTAAGTAAAAAAAAAACCCGGAGGCTAATTTTACGTTTGCATGACGTAAATTAGTTTTTAGGATCATGCATTTTGTCATCATTGTCATCGTTGAAAGTGGAACATTTCTATTTCCTTTAATTTTTGACTTTATTTTAAAATCAACAATGATTAACCCCTAAATTAATATCTACTTACACTGCCTTTTTCTGGTCAACAGTTTCTCGTTTACTTTATAGAATAACCACAACCCCTACAGACAGGGATTGTAGGACCAGTTGAACATGACAGACTTTGGTATTACTTTAATTCCATCGAAATTCCATTAGTGCTCCGGATTTTGTTGTGTGTTAACTACTCCTTAAATAATAGACCTTTTTCAAAAATTTTTGTTTTGTTGGTTCACACTTTCTTGACATATGAAACAAACTTCAGCGCCATCTGTTAGTTTGTGTACAGCAGCTGTTAATGTGAGACTACCTCAAGTGCATTTAGCGATTTTTACTATGGAAAATTTTTGTTGTACGCGATTTTTTGACCAAACACAGCACCACTGTCATCTCTCAGGCACCATATTTGTCAGATCTGGCGCCGTGCGAATTTTTCATGTTCCCGAAACTCAAATTGCCCCTTCGTGGTAAGCGTTTTGAGTCGATTGAATCGGTAAAAGAGAATTCGCTGAAGGAACTAAAAGCCATACCTTCACGGGCCTACGAAAAGTGTATGGAAGATTGGGTTAAGCGTTGGCATATGTGTATCGTTTCGGAAGGAGCATATTTTGAAGGAGATAAAATAAATTTGGAATAAAATTTAAATTTGTGTGTTTTATTTACAAAATCCGAGTATTTTGAGCAGAATACTATTTTGCTCATGGTTCCTTCTTTGCCGTCAGCATATTTTACATATTGGTGACTTCTTCAATAAAATTTTTTATTGAATAATTTTCTGCTCTTCTTATTTTTCTATCTTATATCACAAATATGGGTATATTTCACAGA